TAATTTTTTTTCAACGCTCCATTGCTTCGCATTACGCGTACTTCTGGTTAGGCTGAACGATCAACGGTTTATCTGGGAGTTTGGCGAAACGTAAATTACGTCGGATTTAATGTTCCCGGGCACGTGATACGGTGGCCTAACATATGTAACGAACGACACAGGAGCACGTCACGCGCGATAAAACCGCGTACATGGCGAACAATTTTCGTTTACCTTTATTTTAACGAGTCTGGCTGGCATCAACGGTTGCCACCACCTCGATAATTCACGTTGTTAAACATTCATTCTAACGATATCGAACCGGCCAAGTCTCGGCCACGCCGGATTTGTCGTGAATTCCATTTCTAGCCGGGTCCCGTGACCCCAACCTCCGTGATACTCTTATCTACCTTCTTAAATGTAAATTATCGTAGCGAGTTTCTGGGTTAAGATACGCCGATATTTCTTCCGACGATAAGAAACGGCACGGTGTAAACATAGGGTTAGAAATGAGACAATAATTAAATTCTCAATAAAATAAAAATAATTGATTTACAAGTGGGAGAAATATTTTCGGCTAAGAGGGCAAGGTGCGCGGAATAGGATCGGTAGGGAACGATAAGGTGGTCGAGGAAACGGGATTCACGGTCGTCCAGGCGACGAGATAGCCTTTCGAATCGTAACTTTAAATTGGCTGGCAGAGTGATATCGGTGGCTTATGCGAACAGCATCGCGGAGAGCTTTCGTCGAATGGGTAACGAGCTTGCTCCGTCTCTCCCTCTTATTTCTCCGTTTGTCCGTCCTTTTTCCAACCGGATCGTTCGAGTTATTACTTCGAGCCGGCCTCGGGAAAACTTTTTACCCGCGTCGTAACTAGTTATAATGCCGGACCAGCCCGTTTCCAACAGGAATTATACGAAACTGCAATGGACTCTCTACCCGCGTACCTCGTGCATCGACGATCGAACCCTATTTAGAAGGGTTACTCGAGAATAATTCAACAAACTGAAACTTTCGAATCTGATTGCACGCCGCTGCGAACAGAGTGTACATTTGAAAAACAGATGTAACTCGCGAAAGCGTAAAGTTCCCGCTTGTATTGTGATTATAGAGTACCATTTGAGAACGCTCAAGTGGCACCTTCTTTATTTCTCTTTACGAATCAAGTTTAATGAATTTAACTGATGCTAATTGTATTCGACTTGTCTAGACTCGATAACAAAGAACGAATCGTCTAAATTGATGGCATTAATTGTTTTAATTTCTCTATAAAATATTTCACTTTTAAATTGTTGATTTTGTAACAGCGATGGTTATCGCGATTCAATATTCGACAGCGTGAAAATACCTTCGATTTTCCACGATTTGAACTGGTGCAATCTTTCGAACGATCGAATCGACGTCTCGGCTCGGATTCTTTCTGACAATTTTGAACTTAAAACGGTGCTCGATCGAAGCGAGACATGGTCTCCCAGAGGGGGTTCCAGGTCGGCGACGTTTCCTCGGCAGAATGCAAAAAGCTCGAACCGGAGGAATTTCAATTTGCCCCCGATATCAAATATTTCGGATTCCCTGATAAAGCGAGAAGGCTTTAATCAATTAGGCGGATCAACTGGCCGCGTAGAAAAGTTTCCGTGGAAACGTGCCAGTACCAGAGTTCCTCCAATCATCAGATTTGTCGCTAAGGTTTTTTCTTCAAGTAAATTAATCGTTATTTATCCGAGTTACCATTTTGAAAGACGGTGCCACCTTATAAAATAACTGTGTTTGTTTCGTATATTTTTAGCAGATTCGTCGAGGCAAGGTGTACGTAATCAGCTAGTAATACAGCGGAAGGGTGTAGGAGTAAGGGGGTTGAACGGCAGGGTAATGTAGCGTGCACACGATAAAAGCAATGCGCGGTGAATAATAAATAGGGACGGGGACGGAACGGTGGTCGCTTCTTAAAATTCCAAATGGCCATCAGGCAATAAATTATTAATACCGTTTAACTAGAAATTTCCTGAATTTGCATTCGAATTCATCGGCGAGTCGTGCAATCGCGGTCGATATCTGTTTCGTTTCGCGGGTGTATTTTACAGCGGACGGGCCGACAAATTATTTCGCGTTTCGATGCTTCAGCCCACTTCGAGCGTGAAAATTACACGCAAGCGGATTGCGCCATTGAAAATCCTCGTTGAGACTTGTAATCCCTTTTTTTTTTTTTTTACTGCCTCTGTAATTGGTGCACTTGATCGAATGTCATTTTCCAATTTACTTCAACGAGTAGGTTATTGATATTATTGTTAATAACAGCGTAGTTAAATTTATAGCCAACCGATCGTTGACCCACATTCCTTCAAGCGCATTATTCACTTTCGAAACTGGTGTAATTTCGACGGTGCTTAAAATTCTTCTGCCATTTTTATTTTTGCCTCTTGTTAAATCAAGGTTGACAAAGATGGATATTTAGTAAAGATTAATCGACGCGATGATTGATCGAATTTATCTTGCAAAGATAAGGGTGTCCTGATAATATTGACGTGTATCTTCAGCTTATATTGATGATTCTTTTGCACGAAGGAGTGTTGCAAACGACCGATACACTCGGCTGTTTAATATGTTTCCTCGGAAAGGGGAAACTTTCCCCTTTCTCATAGAAAATGTTCCGGAAATATTGCAAGTCAGCTCGCCAAATTTAACGCTTTAAGATATATTAACACTTCGAAGGTGTTACATTTTGTTAAATCTTCCACCCTTGTGATTTCAAGATGAAATTACCTTCGATTTGGAAAAAAAAAATGTAGTTCGCGTCAACGAGCAACCGGAAGGAATGCGGATCTCTTTGTGTATCAGGGACGTGTTTTCCTCCCGTACACCTTTTACCGACACACGTATATCCAACGAGCGGCAGTCTGCGGCGAGAGCCACGTCGAGGCGAAAAATACTTTTCGTATAAATTGTCGCGCAGGAATTCCACGACGATGCGCCGAACAAAACGCGGCCACGCTTCGTGCACGTAGAAAGCAGCGTAGCTTGGCAGCCTTGTGTTGGCTGTGCTTCTAAAAGAAAGGGACAGAGAAACTCGTAAAAATGCAAACTTCTCCTTTCGAAGTCGAGCGCGAAGATACGCTCGTTGTACGAGCTGTTGTTGTCGTCGTCTACCCTCGGCTGGTATCCAAAAAGTTGGACGAGGCTGAGATAAAAAAAAGAGAGAGAGAGAGAAAAAGAAAACAGAAAAAGAGGGAAAATATAAACTGGTCGCGGTGGTTGGTGACTGCAGGAGCGGAAGGAAGAGCCAGACGAGACCGTGGAACCGGCAAATTCGCAAGAATTTCGCCACATATGCGGTCGAGCATGCGGCGAGAATTTCAGAGAGGAGCAGAGAGGGTAATTCGAGCGAGTGATTTCGAGACGGGATAGCAGAAGAGGTAAAGTTTGACGAGTAGAGAGAACACGCCTCTGCTACCTTGGTCAGACGCGTACCTACCTCAAGGAATTTCCTAACCAACAGACTCGCGAGACAATGATCGAGCAGCTGACTCGAAATTGCCCGCGGCTCGGATAACCTTGCAAAGCAATTAAGAGTTCTGACGATGGTACGACGATGGACCAAGAGAAATCGTCCCTAAATCGATCTAGACATCCCTAGGTATCCATAGTGTAGGGGATGAAAAGTTGGTGTATGGAAAAAATGAATGAAAATCTCTATAAAAACAGTCGAAACTGAAATAATGCAGCACGGAAACACTTAACTTTCAATTCACCAGACACAGTGAAACGTTTCAATTTTTAACTGAATATTTTATATACTATTTTATAGTCGACGTAGAAAATTGTGCATCAATTTTCGAAGCTCACAGAGAGATAATTAAATACATTCATTTATTCCTGTAGGTATATAGTTGCTCGATCTGCAACAGGTTCCCTCACAAAGAAACGTTGTAATTAATATCCGTTTTGATCGATCAACATTTTGCATCGCAAACACTTTTCACTAAAAGGAGCTCTATTGAATGTATAATAGTGAAAAAAGAAAACATTAAAATCGATTGTATCCTCGTTCCGTACGGATAAACGTGTAACCTGACGCTATCCTGTCGAGTTCGACGATTATCGGCACGCGATTGAACAACAAAGTAGAATCATAATTCGTTTATCATCGATCGCAACGATACTTCGATTGTTCCATTATCTCTGGCTTCTTCATTAAATCGAATTAACTGATCGTACGATCGCGTTACGCGTGTTTCTCCTCGTATGAATTGCAATTTTCGCAATTACTCCGGGAAGGGAAACACGCGACTGAGAGGGGCTAATTAAACTTGTCGAGTATCGATCGGTGTAACAACGACGTTTTTTCTCAACGAATTCAAAAAGAATTCTGGATATATCCAGTATCGTAATTAACGTTTTATCCATCCGCGAGACATAACCGGCGAACGAATGGGAGAAAAAGTAGCTACCATCGATGCGATGACGACTGTTGTTTTCATTGCTGCGGGCTACGGTACGCGCGCGTATGCACACCGCAAATATGATTTTCAGTCGCGTCGTAAACTAAAATTAAAAATTTTAAGCTCGCCGTAATCCCTGCACACCGACTCGCCCCTCCTTTCCACCCGTACGCTCCTGTTGTGCCGGGAGCTTTTTTATTCCACCAACGTCGGGAGGAAAAAACGTCGACGCGTTTTAACTGATTCAATTTTCATTTAATCTTCCGCGAATTTCCGCGCGAAATCTTTGCCGAGAATTTCCTGCGTTACTCTTTATCTTTGAAAAGTGGATGCATCTTCTAAACGAACTAATTACGCGGTATACCTCCGTAGAAAAATAACCGAATCGAGGAATTAAGCTAAATCGGCCAATTAAGCCGGCATACATGAATAAGTTAATCGTAAATCCGCTCATCGGATCGATCCGGTAGACAGATATCGCGTCAAAGGGGAATCTGACGGATGTTGTCCAAAGTGGCACAGCTGCTGGTTGTTCCGACAGCTGTTTCGCGTTAATGGAGTAACAAGCAGGAAGCTTGAACTGACCTGAGGTGGATAGTGATCCGGCAAAGCGTCGAGTGCTTCCCTGTAAGCAGAGAGGGCCCTTTGTAATCTACCCTGATCGGCGTAGAGAACGCCTAATTGAAGCAGGGCCTGCACTCTGGCGGCTTCGTGAGCCCTTTTGTCCTTGAGACCGGACCCGTCCAAGGATGCGCCGGCCCGCAAAACCGCAGCCGCTTCCGTTCCACGTCCGACCGACGCCAGAGCCGCGCCCAGATTCACGTAAGCCTCTGTAAAGACAAAAGCAGCAGGGATGATGAGCAGCCGGGAATCTTTTTAACCGAATAAACTGTTAAATCATTATACCGAAGATAACGTTCAATCAATGGCGCGGGTAGAAAATCAGACTGCGGGTATTTAATTCAATTATTCGAATAATACCTCATTTTCAAAACGGAAAGTAAAGTTCATTTAATCAAGAAGAGAATCCTGACCATGCTATTTCAAAACTTCCCGGTATTTTCAATAATTCCAAATTGATTTGGAATTTGATTTAAACCTTTCAGGATTGAACAAACAAAAGTAAACGTAATTCAAACGTTAGCTTGAATATTTAACGTGAAATAATATTTACATCAAACAAAACTTGAAACCGATTAAATAGAATCGAATAAACAGTTCGTGGTTTTCCAGTGCTTTTGTTGTGAATTATAAAAGTACCGGGTTGCTATGAAAATTTCAGAAGAATGGGAATAAATCTAATAAGTCAGGATGTAGCACAATAACAACAGAAGACGGCAACCGAAAAGCCTGTCCAGAGTTTCAAGAGGAAAGGGCCGCGGGTTCTTTTAGAATTCGGACAAAAAGGAAGGCGGCGGTAGGACCGTCAGTCTTTAGCATAAATCCGAGACATTCATGACGACGACGACCACTTTGTTTCTTGCCCTGTTCGTTTCTAATTAAAAGGGCACTTTACCGTGCTTTCCTCGCGATTTCACGGTGAATCGGGTTAAGTCCGTATAAATTTTCATACCCTGTTCCTCTTCTTCATCTTTTGTCGCGTGCAGCCTGTATTTCTTGCCTTTCAGTTGGTTAATTACTAAATATCGTGCGAAACGACCGGCCGTACGCTTCGCAGCTGCTCCTACGACGAAATCAGTCGAACACATCCATAAAGCAGAGATTTTAAGCTGGATTTCCGGCTAATTTCCGACTTTTCCTTCTGTCATTATGAAGATTTTAATTAAAACGGATTGGTCCGTTGAAAGGATTTCACTTTACTTTACGAATGCATGAAAAATAGCCTCAAAGATTTATTATGCTTTCTTCCATTATTGTTTTTGAACAGCTTCGATCTCGAAACCGCCTATCGATTACTCCTTTTTATTTTCCTTTTTAATTAATTTATTGCACACCGGTTGTTGTCGCTTAACGATCCACGCCACAATGGCTGAGCGACCAGGTCGAGAAGGTAAACGCGGGGGAACGAGGCGGACAAAAAGAGGGAAAAAAAAAAAACACCGCGGTCGGTTATGAGTTTAATTAAAAATTTCAAGTTTCTCGGGAGGCATTCTTTTAGCCTGGTATACGGCTTCAGAATCTCTGAGGCCGCGTCACGAGGCAACCAGGGCCAAGTGAAACGTATTAAAAAGTTTATTTCCACTTTTATTGTCGCCCTTCGTGCAACGCGACCCTTTATACCGTGAAATAATAAGAAAAACAAAGGACGGAAAATGTATACGCCTGTGCATAAGAATGAACATATGAATTAAAAATTTCTAATTTCAATTCCTAAGTAATTAAATACATCGTTCATTACCGACAAATGTTTTCAATTATCTCCCACGAAAAGTGTACCCTTCTGTAGTTGATAAGAGATTAACTTTCTCCAGTCCAATTATTTACCGTTCAACCGGGTTTCTAATTCTAAGTGTAATATACTACGATCACGGAGACGGCTCCTAATCCCGATATCATCCTATGCTTGGATATTACAACCCTTGACGTAAGACGTTTACCCCAGTCTGCCTCGAGTTAACAGCATAAACAGGCGACCAGGGAGACTTTCACTAACGAGCCGTGTGATTGGCAAATTTTCCAAGGCGACGATATCGCTTCTCGGCAAATCTGATTTGGATCAACGAGATCGCTCAATGATACGAACGGATGAAAAAAATAGTTACGCTACAGGGTAATGATTTACCCTAATTATCCATAATTAATTACTCGTGTCACGCGTAGAAACAGATCGACCGGATGAACCCGGATGAACTTTGCAACATGCGCCGTGCAGGCATCTCTGAAAGATAGAAAACGCAGCTTTCTATCCGCGAAACGCCAGCCGTAATTCTCCGCGTAATCCGTCACGATATCGGAGCTTTTCCTGGTCGGTCGGACGGCGGCGTTTTAAGATATTACACTCGCGGTGACTTGACACAAGGTGTACCAGCCTGGTACATGTATAAACGTCGCACAACTGTATTCAGGAAAGAAAGAGACACAGGAAAGTAGGAGAGAGAGAGAGGCAAGAGTAGTCGGGTACTCTAATTCCATAGAGTATCCCAGGGGACCGCGTCGAGGAAAATGGATTGCCCTGCTCCCGCCTCGTTCCTTATTCAAAATAATCTGAGGTATAGGTATCGTGCTGTTTCTGTTCCTTTGGTCGAGCATCCACCAGGAAATTGCCATTCCGTCGCAATACCTTTTACTCTTAACGCAAATTTTTTGTTAATTAAACGACGAAGCGATTCAATGCTTACTTATATATTTTTTAAAATAGAAAAAATCGTTCGTAGATAATTTGAAAGAAACTAGCTTCGTTTCTGATGATTTTATTTCGCCGCGATAACATCGAATTCATTATTGGGTGTTTATAGACGAAACTGTAGCAGAGAGCTTGTCGAACGATTGATTAATTAAAATCTCCTCGGTGCAATTGCAAATGTCATTTGCAATCAGGTTGCTGGATAGCTTACGTGGAATTCTCATCGATCGGACGGGAAATCCATTCTCTCTGGAGTTGTTCTTATCGTTAAATATTTGCGTTATGCGTTTATTGTTCAGTCGAAGTTGAAGTGTCGATTTATTAAAAAAAATTCCACTTAATATTAACGTTGTCCTATTCTGGATGAAATTACCCGATAAACCAAAATTTATCACCTCATCGCTCTGCTATTCAGCGACCCAAAGACCATCACCGAGTCACCCCAATTTCTTTATCCATCTTCCTAACAATAAACCACGCCACATCATGGACACCGATTCGGAGCGACGAGATATGAGAAATAACAAGTTGGAAAATACATCCTCTTATGTATGCGGTCGAAGTTTTGCAAGGAAACTCGGTGCCAGGGTAATATTTCATTCGTCAGGCGAAAAAACACTCGTTTCCGCGACTTTTCGCCAGTTCAACGTCGGAAAAACATTCGCGACGGTCCTCGAGTTAGGGAGCTAGCAAAAAGTCGATTCCTCGCGGTCGATTCGCGCATCGCGAGACGAAAAGAGGGTGGCTGAGGAGCGGAAACGAGGACGAAACACCTCGTAGAGGCTGCGTTTGGCAGCCAGATACATCGTTGCTCGTCTTTCGACGTTCGAGTCGAAGAACGGTGAACAGCTCGGTCGAAAGGTCGCGCGGGGTGTAAAAGCAACGCTCCGGGCTGCGAAGATCGCCGAGACTAAGGGTGGAAGAAGAATAGGCGGACGGAAACTGCTGTTTCATCTCTGACTTCGCCAACTTGGCAAGATCGCCGGCCTGTTTGCTTCCTAATTACGGAACAGAGAGAATAAGACGCGCTAGACCATGGTAAGGGAAGACGAAGAACCGTGGAAGAGAAGAAAAGAGACGGTGGTAAGTCGATGGTGGAAAAGAAAGGGCGAGATAGAGAGAGAAGAAGTGAATTCAACTCTGCCGCTCGCGGAATTAAGATTCCATCGTGCAGTCGAGTTTTGTGTGTGCCTTGCAATTTCCTGGTTAACCCGACCGCCCTCTTTCTACTTCGTACACGATCATCCCGCTTCCCGCTCGCGTTCTATTCCTTTCGCCGATATTTTCTTCATCCGAGTTTGTTTGTGTTTCAGTGACGTCGAGTTGAAGCGGAAGGAACAACGCATGCCTTCGAAAGCGTCGAGTAATGGGGTAAACCAATTTCGAATCATTAATTTAATCTAATTGCTTTCCGATAATTTTACGTTAATTTTCCTACGATTCGGATACAATTACACGTAAATGGAGCGAGAAGAAGTAATCCGTACGGATCAATATTGGGACTATTGTTAATTTTGAGGTACTTTTGTCGCCACGGTATCGCGGTGTGATTAATGTTCCAATCGATAACGAAATTCTATGATCCTCCACGAGCTTCTTTTTGTTCCCGTTCCCGGTGTAAATGATTCGTAACGGAGCGGCTTTTAAAACACCAGCCGATCGAGTAATTAGCAGACCGATAGGTCGCCAATTTGTGGACTGGCTAACGCATGCACCCTCTTCATCGTTGAACCGCGTTCGGTAAAGGGTGACTGTTTTCCATCGGGCTCGTCCATCGAAATTTCGTTCGTTTATCTTCAATTTCCGTTTGCAATTCGCCGCTAAAGCGAGTTCATTGAACTCGTTAGTAGAAAATTTGTGGAACACAATTTGTATGCGATTCGAAACAGATTACACAGAAATTTTCGTTATTTATTTTTTAATCATTTCTCGAATACGAACCGAAACGTCCAATTATTTTCGAAAATTTTTCAACGCATCACTGCAATTATAAGAGTGATAATATCGTGCGTATACGTGACTGAAAATGCATAATATTTAATTCGGCGTGTATTTTATTACGAAAAAACATTCTGTCGAACACGGTTTGCAGAAAATATTCAATTAGCTCCGAAAAGCTTGCGTGTTTTACACGAAACAAATCGCAAAGAGTGACAAGTAAAATTTATTTTATTATCGACTGGTCGGTAATTACATATTGCACGTGATTCTTTGGGAATAATATCGCGTTGGATCGCGTGCAATCAACCGTACAAGCTCGGTTTATCGAAACAATTACCGCAACGCAAAAATGGTGGTTGCCGGGATTAGCGAATAAAGACAAACAACGAGGAACAGTGCCCAAACAATTACCAGTGCATTATGCCGAGTTCACACGCGAAACGGTGGCTAACCGTTAAAGGTGGGCGTGTCCCCTCGTAAACAAATAAATAATATGTTAGCTAATGCGGCGTGTAATTGAGGGCTGGATGCGGACCGAACGCAAGAAAATGCAGTCCGTACAATTCGCGTTCGCGATATTAAATC